TATGGGATACCACAAACTTCAGTTCCCAGACACCCAAGACAAATGATCTAGTGGAAAATTTGATGAAATTAGGAGTGGAGAAGGAAGAAGATCCTATATTCCTTTTTTCTCTCATGGTGTTTCTGGTTGCAAGGACAGTAGTAGCAAGTGTTCGAGGTGATGAGAGTGGCAGATACAGCTGCAAAGAATGAACAAGAACCGAGTCCTGGAATGCGGGTGCCTCATTTCCTGCTAGGGTAGGTGGGTTCCCAGCAAAGGTAGGAGAGGAGCAGATATGCTTGCTTATGAATTCCATTCAGGCAAATTCCCTCCCATAAAAGGCTAAGGTTGTGACACAGAGATCTTGGGTTGCTGTAACACTGTGTTTTGGTTTTGCAGCAGTTACTAATGTTATCTTCTCTCGTTTCTCTAATCCTTCCAAATCAGATAACTAATTATGCATTAAATTTCTTCCATTTTAAATACTTGGAATGGTTTCTAATTTTAAAATATATCATAATAAATACGCAAGTAAAACGTGAATACTTAAACTCAATAATTCACATAAAAGATAACCACAGGCCAACTTTATGCAAATGCTGATATAGATATTTGAAATAAAATAATTTTAACCAGCAGAGGAACAGCTCATTAGAATTAATAAATAATGACTAAGTAAGATTTATTTTAGCAATCCATGGATGGAACAAATGAGAAAAGCAACTAATATAGTTCATGTTTTAAATAGATATAAAAAGGAAATCATATTATTGTTTCCATAAAAAGTTCTGCACAAAATTAAATCTTTTCCTAATAAAAATACTCAATAATAGAGAAATTGATTGAATACTTTTTAAATATGAATAACTCATATCTTGATTAATGGGAAATGCTGGACTGATTCAGTTAAATTCAGAGAAAAAGGAAATGAGACTCATTATTGCTGCTTTTTTTAAATTGTGTTGAAGATATTAAAAAATAAAATCAGATAAAAGTGATTATAATCATGAGAATGAGGAAAAAGATAAAACTATCTTTATTTGCAGATAGTGTGATAATTTGCCTGGAAAACCATGGTGAACCAAAGAGAGTGAAAGGGAGAGAGAGAGAAACCAAGTACCAGCATAAAACCAGTATTTTAAAAGTCAAACATCCTACTGATAATTCCATGGATCAACATGGATAGACTATGGTTCCAGATATTTGGTCAATCAAGAATAATTAGATGTTTTTAGATATTTTAGATAAGGTCACTTTTAAATCATTAGGTTTTGAGGAAAATTGATTATCTTCTATAAAGTAGATGGGTCTTATCCTATCAGTTGAAGGTCTTAATAGAAAACCAAAACCAAAATAGATAAAACAAAATTTAATGACAGTGAGTAACATTTAAGGAGCCATGAGATACTGGAATAATTACAGCAGAAAGTGAGTTTTCTCTGAATAGCTGTTGTGCATATGATTGTACAGTACATAGACACTCCTCAAGCTAAGTATGTTTAGCTCAATTCTCTGACAAAGACTAGTGCCCCTTTCTCCTCTCCATTCTTGCTGAGGACTCCAGCAAGATAACCTAGGCTTCCTCAGGATCCATTTCCTCATCGCCATTAGATCAATGAGTAGCTGAAAAATCACATAAAAATCAAGTCAGGGAAGTGCTGCCTTGACTATGAGAGGGGAAAAAATAGAATGACTATCAGAACCACCAATTATACCTTCCCTTTTTCTTTTAATATAGCTAATAATCTGCTACTTGAAAGATTATAGACCACTAGATTAAAGATACCACTGTTTGGGGATTTGTGAGGTGTGGAAACAAATTTGAACTTCAATCAGCTGGAGTCACTCATGTAGATGACCATGGTCAGACACTCTTAGACACTCTTCTCTATGACTCATTGGAATAAAGCTGCTAATCAAGTCAACTTTCCAGCCTCTGTCCAGATGACTCCTGTCACCTAGATTTGTCATAATGCCCCAGCCTTGACAACACATCTGCCGTCATAGCTTAGCCATACAGTAAAGGACTTGGCATTCTCGTGAGAAGTTACATTATCCAGTTTCGTATGGTTCCTATTTCCTATGGTAACTAGGAAATTTTTCATTAAGTCTAACAGTGTATTTTGACAGCCTATGTTCTTTTTCTTTTGCTATTTATATTCCACAGAAAAACAAAGACATCCAATATCTTTTACTTTGTGACTTATTTCACTTAGCATGAACACCTCAAGGTCCATCCATTTTGACCTCAAAGGCACCATTTCATCTTTTAAAATAGCTGAGTAAAATACCTGAGTAGTATTTCATTGAACATATATTCTACAATTCTTTACCTGGTTGCCTGTTGATGGGCACACACTTTGGCTTGACAGCTGTGGTGAATGCTGCTATGAACATAGGAGTGAAGAGTCTTATGGAATAATTAAGCAAGAAAAAGACAAAAGAAATCCAGATTGTAAAAGAAGTTGAAACTGTCACTATTTTCACATGAAATGGTTTTATAGAGAACTCAAATAAACTAACAAACAAAATTAGAAATAATAAATTAATGCAGCAAAGTTGTAGGATAAACAATCAATACATGAAAATCATTTTGATTTGTGTCAGAAGAAAGAAAATTAAAAAAAATTCCATTGACACTGACACCAAAAAGAATGAAATACTTGGGATTAAACTTAAAAAAGGAGGTAAAGTAGCCATACATTGAAAGCTATAAGACTTTATAAGAAAATAAAAGACTCAGAGAACTTATTAATTTCTAAACGGTATTCTGAAGATATTTCCAGTCATTGTTGTTACTAATATTTTCATCCCTATCATTTTGGAGTCTTGATTGATTCATCTGAATTTTCCTTCTTATTTTGAACTGCCAATAGTCTCCAAAATCCTATTACTTCTCATGTTAGTTAAAATTGGTCCATTTTTCTTATAATTAAATATTTCTCATGTGTTAATTTGAAATTAACAATCTCAATTATAGCCATCCATTTAGAGTAAGTATGTTGGTGGGACTCTCTGGTGGCGTGAGGAGTTAAGATGCAACTATGAAACTGTCTGCAGTCTCTGTAGCAAGAGTTCGATCCCTGGCTGGCCAGGGAGCAACCCACATGGTGCAGCAGACCTCTCCTGACTCACCCACTGCTCCCCTCAGCAGTGTATTTCAGTCAATCTGCCTGTTCTGTTCCCTGCTCTGTCTCTGGTGAATCCGCTCACCCTCCCGCACATCTGGTCTGTACCCCTGTTCTTGTATGAATGCATAAATAAATCTTTAAAAAAATTAAACAAATAAAACCTAAGCTCAGTATATCAACATAAGTCACTTGGCTTGATTTCTAACTCAGGCCTAAAGCTTAAAGGTCACAGTGCTGCCCTTCAAGTTCCCATGAGGCCACCCAACTTCATAAAGGTAGGAGACTTTTTAAAAAAAATATATGGCACTTAAGATGACACCTGAAAAATAAGTTTGTTGGTAATGACTTCTGTGTTAAATGTCTTATCATAGTAGGGTAATTTGTGGTCCTATCACCTATCTTTAAAACTAAGCAGTTTTTTAAGTTGGAGTTTTTTTTTTGTTTTTTTTTGTTTTTTTTTTGTTTATTTTTTTTTTTTAAGATTTATTTATTTATGCATACCAGAGCTGGGGTACAGGTCAAAGGTTTGGGGGTGGGGGTGTGAGAGGATTCACCAGAGACAAGAGTGGGAAGCAGAACAGGCAGATCTACTGAAATACACTGCTGAGGGGAGAAGCAGGTAAGACAGGAGAGGTCTGCTGTGCCATGTGGGTCAGCTCCCTGGCCTGGGATCTAACTCTTGCTGCAATAGGGCTGGTAGCTTCATAGTTCTGAGATTTAACCCCTTGCGCCACCAGGGAGGCCCAAACGAAGCAGTTTTAATAGACTACTTTAACAACCTGACTATATAGTCATTTGCACCCAGGTCTTGAATTAAAGGGGAAATTGTTCATTTCCTATGTAATTACCATAATAGAATTTTACTTTCCTGATAATCATAGCATCAAAGTATTTCTGAGTAAAAAGTCTTTTTAGGGCCTCCCCTGGTGGCGCAGCAGTTGAGTGCTGGGCTGCGAGGCTGCCCGCAGCCTCTGCTGTGCCAGTTCGTTCCCTGGCCGCTGGCGAGGGTCGCACCAAAAAAAAAAAAAAAAAAGGTCTTCTTTTTAAAATACATACCAAATGGAGAGTTAAGTTATGTATCTTTTGGCTTATCCTATGCAACCGAAAAGTAAAAGTAATGTTTGCTATTAAACTTTAATTACATGAAGAGAATATAACTTTATGATTTCAAATAGGGAAAATAACTGGCAAAGAGGGACAAAGAGGTGTATCACCTGTCTATCCTTAATACACTATCTTTAAAAACCTATTAATTGATGTCTCATTAAACCTGCATAGTTCCTTCTTTACAGAGTTAGACTTTATTTCTTGAGATTTCCAAACTAATGCCATTCCAAGGGAGTGAAATATTTCTTCACTTATTCTTGACAAGACTTTAATATTCTTTCCGAGAAGTAATCTCCAGGGAGTTAAATATAGCATTTAAAAATCACTTTCTTTCAGTCTGTACTGGTGAGATGCCTTCAAAATATGATTTCCAAAAAGTGCAGGAGGTGAAATGGAGGTGCTTTATTATTTTTTCAATGGCCAGTGAGATTTCAAATTTCAGTTTTTTGCTTGCTGAATTTATTGTTTGACATGCATTATAAAATGAAATTGTCTAGCTTATTATTTTCTACCTGTAAATCTACATTTACATTTAGTAAATAAAATGTTTCAGAAAGACTTTGATTTTATTGTCGGGGGTAATTTAGTGATTTTTGTAAGTAAATTTATAAAGCCAGTTACTTTTTATTAAATGTATATAGAAAGCATTGTGCCAGAGAGGTTTATTTAATGTGCAAAGGATTTGAACAGAGAAAAATCTATTCCTCATATATTTTAAGAGTATTATTTATCACTCAGTGCTGAATAGACAATAGAAAAGACGTGGTGTCTGCCCAATGAGATGAAAGATAATATTAGCTTTAATACCTTTAGCTTTTTCAAACAATCAATGGAAATAGAACAAATTGCTTATTCTTCCACTTCAAGGGTTATGTAGTATAGAGTGATATATATATAGAGATTTTTTTTTGAGGTTTCATTAGTGTAAGAAAAACAACAACCAAGAAAAACAGCAACATATTGGCAAAGAAACTTAATGGCAAATGGGAGGCTCAAGCTGACTTTTCATGCTCCTCCAGTAATAGAGAATATATTCATTTGTCCACGTCATCATCATCATCATCATCATCATGATGCTTTTGTTCAGAATGGATTATATTCAAGGCATTAATCTACAAAATAAAAATGTAAAATAATGATTTAATGATTAATTTCTATAATTGTCTATATATAAATTTAAATAACTTAATAACAGGAATACTAAGGTAGACAAATGCTTTCATTTTCTACAAGTAATAAATTTTTAAAAAACACCACACTAAGGAGAAACAAAATTTGTTTGTGTAAAGCAGCTCTCCTGGCCAGATTATCTTTCTTCTTTCTCATCAACTTACCTTAACTAAAAGGTATTTTCTCCATTTGTGAGAATACTGGATTTGGCTAGAGAGGGACGGAAGGAGCATTGTATTTCATATTCTTGCATAATCTTATTTTTTCTCTATTATGATTATCATTTGCTTTCATTTGCCAACCACAAAGTCCCATATATTATTTTTCTAATAGTTCAGTATTGCAACTAATTCCACTGGACTTGAAATCTCTTTTACTGAAATGTTTTCATACATATTGAAATAAGTATTAAAACAGTATGAAATTTATTAGTCAGAAAGATTTGGCCAAAACAGAATCACAAACTTTTGTTGGGAGAGTACAATCTGCTAACTGCAGTGACCCTCAGTCAGGACTCAAAGGATTAGCCTGGGAAACCCTACTCTAAGAAGTCCCCTGTCAAGGGACCCCATTCATTTCGCAAATCTTGGGATACTCTTAAAATGCTATAAATCATTCAATGTCTTTTTAAAGTATTTTTCTAGAAGCCCCTGCAATCTGTTGCTCAAAGGCTATCAAGTTTTTACTAGGCTTCTCAAACCACCATATTGAAAATTGCCACCAACCTTTCTCATAGTCTATTCCCAGCCTTCTTGATACTACTTTTATTATTAAAGTATACTTTTCAATGTAACATATATATTTTGATTTAATGAGTACTTTCATGTTGCTTACTGCTAGTGAGTTTTCCTAGCTTCTTATAAATATTAGCTAATTTTCCTAATTAGCTTATTAAATAAACACTAGTGTCTTTGCTCAATAAACAAGAAAGCAGATGAAGAGAAGTTGTGTCAAAATTACAGAGCTAGAAAGTGTTTGAACTGGGGTTTGAATTCAGGCAGCACTGCTTCAGAATCCAGGCTCCAAAAGATTACTCTATGTTCTTTTAAACTTATTTGTTGTTTATCTCTCCTTGACAGCAGAAAATTCTGTCTGTTTACTGTTGCATTTAAGGTGACAAGAATGGTTTTAATATTTGATCTAGGATTGTATGCCAGATTATGTAACAGATCATCAAGAAAATAGAGATTTCCACAGATCAAGGGAGAAGGAGATAAAATAGATATTAAATGAATAAACTCAGAAATAGTGCCTAATTTCAAAGACCATGTAAGTAAACAGAAAGTGCTCTGACAGAGTTTAACATGGGGACACAATTTTGACTAGATTAGGTAAAAATGTAAGTAATTACTTGAGAATTAAGGCATGAAATAAGAAGTAAATTGGGAAAAATGTGTCTAGTAGGTAGGAAACTAGATGTGTTAAGTTTTATTCTAGAGACTATGCTAGAATTAAGGAATTAAAATCCCAGGGTAGCTAGAAACTATAGATAGAAAGGAAAATCTATAGAAAAGAGACGATGAAAGTAGCCAGGAGTTCTATTGCAAAGGGCATTATAGTTCATGTTAAGAAGTTTGGATCTTATTCTAAGACAGTGGGAAACAATTAACATCTCAAAATGTTAACTCACATGATGGATTTACATGTTGAATATCTGAACGCAGTGCAAATGATGGTGTGGTGTGAGGACATGCATCTGAGGCAGTGTGATCCTATGCCTCTGAATCACGTACAACGTTGTAAACTGTTGACCCAGTTAAAAAAAAAAAGAAAAATATATTTTGCATTATTGCTCTAGAAAAGCAAGGAAGAGAGAGAAGCAATATGTGAAACTATCCAATAATATAATCGTCCAGACAAGAAATCACAGAGTTCTAAACTAGAGTGGCATCAGTGAACGTAAAGATAGGAGAGGCCTTTGTCGGACTTGCATGTTGACTCTTGGTGGTGAGGATGCAGGAGGAAATAAGACTTTTTGATATTCTAGCTTGGACAACTGGACTTGTTGCTACTTAATGATAGAAATAAAGTCAAACCTAGGGGAAATGTGTTTTAGGAGTTCAATTTTTGTATGGTGTGAGACTATGTGAAATTCTAGGGACATACACATCTCTTGGACATAGAGATTAGTTTTTTCTTAGTACCTAATAGTATTACTACCAGTTAAAGAAATTGGAGGAAATGTTTGGTGAGAGCTTTTAAGTAGAGAATAGAAGATTATCTAGAAAAATGTGTGCCTTCATGATAACAATCAGAATTGTAGACATGGCTTGAGAAAGATGACTGGAAAACACTGAGATTGAATGAGAAAATATAAGAGAACACTTATAAGTGTTGTTTATGGCAGCAGGGAGGTGGAATCCAGCTAAATATTTACCATTAGGGGAGTTAATAAATGTCGCAGATGCATACCACATATTACTATAGCCTTTATAGAACAATAAACTAATGGACTTGCATATGAATTAACTGAATTTAAAAAATTGCTCTGACAAAAGAATATAAATATGACATTGCAATTATGTAGTTACATATATACTCTGAAGTGCATATATAAGCATGCACACAGAACAGTGCATTTTTAAATGTTATATACATATCCAATTAAATATATTAAATATATTACACTGTATTTAATACTCTATCCAGGGAGAAGGGAGAAATAAAAATGGAAATCACAAACTTAAAAAGGAAAAAAAATAGATATGGTAGCTTGCATCAGTGTTAATAGTTTGACTATAGACTTTTCTTAATAGTCACAATATATGTGTCAAGCTATTGCCAAATATTAATAATTAGAAAAATTGATGGGAGTGCATGGCTGGGAAGTATGGTTAAGGGGATACATGGGAACTATACTTTCCACTCTTTCTGTTAACCTACCACTTCTCAAAAAATAAAGGTGATTATTTTTAATAAAGGCTAAAATTATTTCACTCCTTCAAAAGCAAAATAAAAGCAAGCTTTATTCTACTTCAATGCCAATTTAACAATATAAGTAAAATCAATGACTTTCTAGAAAAATATATTAAGTCATTCATCAAAATATACGAAAATGTATAAACAAAAATGCCTTAAATAAAATTCTTTTAACAAGTCTGTATCTCCACTCTAGCAGCTACTGCAACAAAAAAATTCTTGTTGAAAGCATAATTAAGTATAGCAGTTAGCAATAATGTAAGTTATACTAGTAGAGTTAATATTATTCAACCTACATGGATGAAAGTGAGATTAATCTACTTCATTTTTTTAAAGATTTATTTTACAAGAGCCGGGTACAGGCCAGATGTGCAGGAGGGTGAAAGGATTCACCAGAGACAGAGCGGGGAACAGAACAGGCAGACTGACGAAATACACTGCTGAGGGGAGCAGCGGGCGTGGCAGGAGAGGTCTGTCTCGCCATGTGGGATTCTTGCCTGCTGGACGGGATCAAACCCACACTGTAGGGGCTGTGGACAGCTTCACAGTGTGGCACTCAATCACCTGTGCCACCAGGGAGGCCCAATCTACTTCATATTTGCTGATTGTAGTATGTGTTTATGAAATCAAAGATTTTCAAGTAAGATGATTAAAATTTGAATTGTAAGTATGGAATTTTTCAAGGTGTCAAAAAACTAGTGAAACACATTTTTTATAGTTGCACTCAATGTTATTAATCCAGATTAGAAATAGAAAGTGAGAAAAATGTTTCATGCAGTTTAGAAATAAGTTTGTCATTCTTAAGAATAAGTTTAGCAACAATGTTTAGGACTTAAAGTAAACAATAAAATTTCATTGAAAGAATTAAAACAATTACTCAACAAATGGAAAGGTATGCCATATTTCTCAAGAGGAGTCTTGAATAACATAAAAATGTCATTTTTTAAAAAAATAATATATTTTCTGTGATTCTAATTAAGATGTTAACATTTTGGGATTTGGAATCTTAAGTTTATATGGAGGGATGGAAGTCTGAGATTTTAAATAGTGCATACAAGAGGGATGGAGCACTTGTCACTTCAGGTATTAAAATATACCTAATAAAGTTGTATGAGATATGCAGAGGATTAGACATATATCCTTGGAACATATTAGAGCACTCACAAGTAGAGGCAAGTATATAAAGAATTTAACATTTGACAAATGTTACATTTAAATTTACTGGGAATAGGATGGTACTATAGAGTATATAGACACAATACTTAAAATATAATCAATGTGGATTGTAAATCTTAATCATAAAATATAAAGCAGCAACATGTCAGACTTTATGTTTACCCTGTAGTTAGTGGAGGTTGTTTTCATCAATACACACATATTGACTAAGTTAATATAGCTGGATTTTTTAAAATTGCACATTTTCATGGCATAAGCAATTTTAAGTAGTTTAGGGCTTTTCAGGAGAAAAGAATTTTCTTTGCCAAAGGAGAGGAAAATGGGTACTTTGAATGGGTCCTTTAAGCTTCCACTACAGCCTTCTTTCTGGATAATGAAAAGCTGTCAGTACATCTCCAAGTGTCCTTTGTAGTTAAGGTATTGGATATGTACTTGATCCTCACACTGGATTGATTGAAGCAAAATTCAGGAGTAAATGAGGAGGTCATTTTTTTTTTTTTCTGTAATTTTGGGAAGTTCTACTGACAATGACATAAAAATGTGGGGTGTTTCCCCCACCCTCACTTTGAAGCATCTTTCTAATAGCCACACTCCAGCTTCCTTAGAAGTAATTTCCAAATTTCCATATCATGTTCTTCCTTCTTGCCCAGCTCCAGTAATGGCTTCAGAGAGAGTAACTGTTCAAGTGGTCAAGTCTGCACTGTTCTGTGAATCAGCCTGGGAGGTCTACCATAGGACCCACTTCTTTAGAAAAGTAAGTAAGCGTAAGCACCTAAAATCCCTTTCTGATTAAAATGCCTACAGTAGGTTACTCTCCCTTCTGCTAATGGATGCAGGATGAATTATTGGCAAACAAACCACAGCAGATGTGCAAGTGTCACCTGAGAAGGATCCACACTCATTCATCTTTCCATACATAAAATTTCAAGAATTCTATCATAATAGATGGGAGGCATTATAGGATGAGGATAAATAACTGCACTACATACTGCCTATAATGACCTGAAACACTCCACCTAAAACAAGCAGCAGCCACTGCTTTATTTCCCTTTCATAAATTATTCCAAAAAAATGAGATTACTTGTAAAGGTGAGTGTAGGGTAAGTGAAAATGTACAAGGGCTTTCTGCCCTCCTGTCATTAGGATTGATGATGGATCCCTGTGGTCCTGAATGCATGCCTGAAGGTGGGCACCTAGAGTGGGGTGTGGACATACATAGGTGGGCACACCTGGGGAGACTGGGCTTGTAAGGGTGGTGTCACAGGGATGCCGCAGCAGAAAAAGAGTAGAAGAGAGCAGAGAGAAAAACCAGAGAGCCCAGAAAGAGTGAAGACTTCCTGGGGGCAGGGAGACCTGCCAGAGCCCACCCCTTGCCTCCCTACCCTCCACCCCTCCCCGGGCCTGCCAGTGTACCTGGTAAAAGCTCAGTAAAAGCCTGAAAAAGCCACCGAGGGCTCTAGGACTCTCCTTTACCTGTCCGCTACAATCATAGAAAACCTGCACTATGCCCTTCCTGCCACTACAGTGAGTAGCATTTATGACATTTTCAGAGAACAGTAGTTATGTTCTTATTTTGAAATCCAATGAAATGAAGGAGAAATATTTATTGTAAATGATGATGTAAAAACTGGGATTTTGTACATGTCTGTGTGAAGGCTAAGTTATGCTTGTATATACATGATTTTATGCAATGAGATTAATTTACTATACTCTAAATTTCATTACTGTGCAATTTTTTTATTATAGGACACCGAATGTGTTCAAATAAGTATTCTGTCTTCTATCATTTTGAAGTTATTTTTCAGATTTAATAACTGAGTCAGCTGAATGCATTTTTCACTTTAATATCTCTCTAGAAAATGTGCTAAATAACATTTATCGATGTAAGTACAATAGTTATTAAATGTCAATCAGATTCTTCAAATTATACCCAAAAGCATCTGGTGAAGGCACTGAATTCACTCTAACTATATTATGAAAAATAGCAACTGAGAATCTGATCAATAGTTTGAGTTAAAAGCCACAAAAATGTACCTAAGAAAAGGTTGCTTTGGGGAATTTTCAGATAATTGCTTAAAGTAAACTGGTTAAAGTGAAGAGGTTTCTAAGGATCAATTTCTAATCATCTCTAAAATATCAAATCCCTTTTTCTTCCTCCAGGATACTTACAGTGATTTATGCATTTTATAAACAATAAAAACTTCTGAAAGTCAGTTGGCATAAGAACCTGTATTTCATAATAGATGATGAAATCCATGTCTAGCAATTCAGAAAAAAAAAGTCTATTTCACTTAAGATCCATCAATTTGAGAAGAAAAATCTTTATATTTAGTAGTACTGAATTTTATTTGGAAATTTTTTAAAAAGTGAGGGAGATCACTAGCTCTGCAACATAATCCAAAGTTCTTATTTTTTAAAAGATTTGTTTATTTATACAGAACTGGGGTATAGTCCTGCGGCTTGGGAGGGTAAGAGCATTCACCAGAGACAGAGCGGGGAGCAGAACAGGCAGACAACTGAAAACACTGCTGAGGGGAGAAGCAGGTGAGACAGGAGAGGCCTCTGGGCTATGTGGGTATCTCCTTGGCCAGCGGGGAATTGAACCCACACTGTAGAGGCTGCAGACAGCTTCACAGTGCGATGCTCAATCCGTTGTGCCAAGGGGGAGGCCCAAAGTTATTTTCTGCCCTTTCTACTCTTCATAGGCAATAGCCTGTGCTCCCTTGAAATTCAAGATACATTCCCCGATTCCCTATATATTTAAATTGTATTATATATTTTACTCTAAGAGATAGTACACGGACAACTCAAAATATTTTATATTGAGATTTTTCTGAAATATAATCCAGTGTAAAACAGTGCTTTCAAGTTCATTTCTAAAGTTGTACATAAATCACATTATCTAATTCCAGAACATTTTATCATCCACCTTAAAAAACCCAGTGCCCATTGGCCTTCATTCTCATATTCTCCTTTCTCCAACTCTAACTCTAGGCAACCTCAATTTACATTCTGTTTTTGTAGATTTGCCTACTGTGGACATTTCCTATCAATAGAGTCATACAACATGTGTGGCCTTTTCTATATGAATTATTTTATTGGCATAGTAGTTTCAAAGTTCACTCATGTTGTAGATTGAATCAATACTTCATTTCTTTTTTATAGCTAAAGAAGATTCCATTGTCTGGATGAATGGCAATTTATTTTTCAGGTTAGTTTATGTTGTACCTTTTCATCCTACCCTTTTTCGGATTCTTGTCCTTAATATTAATTTTCATACCTTCTCTCATATTCTCACACTCCATGGGTTAATCGTCAACATGCTAACGGCACTCTCTGTTCAAGAATTGTTCCTTTTTTCTTCTTAAACATCACACTGATTTCATAAATAATAATATGTAAAATGTGTTTGATTTTGGTAGCAAAGTTCTCCTTGTTAATCTTCTCATTTAGAATTGCCTTGTTTAATTATTATGTTTTTTTTGTGTGAAGTTTAGACTAATTTATGAGTTTTCACAACCCCAATTCTTCTCACCTCATTCTAAATCAATTTCAGGGACCATCACAGAAGAAGTTGAATTTAAGGTATCACATATTTTCTTACGCAGTTTCTTTGCCAAACTCCATTTGTTTTCTATACAGAAAACCTGTACCAGAACAGGAAGTGCTGCAGAAGGAGGTAAATACAATGGGATTAACTCCGTACATTGAACTCTGGGCATGAATCAGGACAAAATGAGCTTGAGAAAAGGGCGAAGATGGAGCCCACTTTCTCAATCTTCAACACTTTCTTGTTCAGAACTGTTGCTGGCATTGAAGTAAAGAAATGTGTGATGATATCTGCCCACCAAGGAAATAGACAATGAACAATATAGCTAATGTGGAGTGGGGTGGTAGGTCAAATGAGGACATTTTTCAAGGTATGAAAATCTTTATCACCTTTTGATAGCAAAAATTGTAATAGAGTGAAACTAAAGATACAGAAATGAATAGAAAAAGCAATACCATAAACTTTCTGCAAGTACAGGTCTGAATTAACTGCAGAGAACTGTTGAACAAACCACCTTTTATGGGAAGAAAATTAAATTTTTATAAATTTCTGATTGGGATGATGTAAGTAGGACAATTTCTATTCTGTAAAGGATGTGGAAAATGTGACAAAATAACTCTGGGGGTTTGAGAAGAATGGAAACATTTGAAAGTGTAATTTGCAGTCCTTGGGAAAGCAAATTGATTACCAAGATATAATAAGGTTATCAGTCAATGTTAACTGGAATTACAGTCATTCTCATCTAGATGTAGGAAAACTCAGATTATATTAATAACAATAACAAAAAAAAAAGACTATTTGAAGACCTTGGCAATGGCCTGATTCCAGATTCCTTTCATCATTCTGAATAACATTTCACTCACTTTGATACAGCTGGACCCATTTTCCTCTCCCTCAATCTACTGGATCCTAAATTTTAGATGACTATAGTGAACATTACCTCACAGAAACTTCCAATAGCTCATTGAACCTGTGGAGCACATTATCTCCATGGAAGGTCACAACTGCAGGACAAAGTTGTACATTGCTGCTATGGCAACTGTTTATCTTGGTTCCACTTTGTCAGTAACAGGTGCCTGACATTTTGAATCCAGGACTCTAAACTGCATTTTCAGACTTCTAGAATCCTAATCCTGTAATACTTGCTAAACTAAACTAGTATTTGCTAAACTAGAAGATGTGCTTGTTTTCTTTGATTCCCTAAGCTCTGAATATTCCTGTTTCAATGTGCATATCTACTGGACTTTCTACTTATATATTCCTTTTTCTAAAATAATTGTGTCAAGTCAAACAAAAACAGCTTGTCTGCTAGTTAGAGAATCTGACCAATGTAGCCTGGAACAAAATACCTATCACAGTAAGGTGGTGTAAAACACAATTGCTATTTTTCATGGTTAAAGCTCTAATAATGAAAGAATATTTGTCTTGCTTTAATTACACTAATTTACTATTCTTTCTTGGACTGGATCTCATTCAACCTCTACTGAAACGATACAATAAAAACAAACAAGTGTGATTTGTGAGTGTGCTGTCTTTACCCCCACAAAGTAGTGTGTAATAATTACTCGAGAGGAAAGAAGCTAGAGAGAGGTTTGGGATCTTGTTAATTTACATTTAATTTTAGCCTCAGAGGTTTTTAAAGGCAGTGGTTATGTAGTGTATGAATAGAGATGTTTAATCAGACCAAGCTGTCAGGTTGATAGTAGTGCTTATCAAGAAATTAGAGAAAAATATGCTACCAAGTCCATCCTCCTGCCATAGAAGGAACAACAAATCAGATGTGGAAAGACAAACACTATGATTAAAAAGCTCATCTGCCCTAGGGAGTCTTTCATAATTATAAATATATATTTAATATCCAACTTGAGCATACCACTATGCAGTCAGCTTTTTGCCCTATATTGGTAGTTTTAATTGCAATATCTCCTGTATTGAGAAGGTAGTTTTTTTTTCTTCTTTTAAGTAGGGCTACTGATTAATATTTTAGAAATTGAAGAGCAGAGAGTCATGTTACAGGGTTAGAGGAAGATTTTGGTGATTTTCAAAGAAATTTCTTTTACTAGACATGTAAATTACTACCTAAAATATACATAATGTTGATATTTCAATGTTCTCAAGTTAAGGAAGTGTGTAGATTATTCCTATTTTATTTATTATATTTTCATAACAGTCTTAGCTTAATTACACAAAGGAATGGATATTTCCCTCTATTTCCATATGTGACGTTCCCCTTGAAAATGCATTTCAGTATGAAAGCTTTAAAAATGAATAGTAAATAACTGTGTTTTGTAACACCTTACTGGGATAGATATTTCATTCTAGGCTACAATATCCTAAACTATTCATATTCCTGGAATAGCAGAAAGGCAGTATTTACTTGCTTTGATTCAATGAATTTGAAAGCCTCTAACTCCACAGTAGACTAACCTTATTAGGGAATCTGAGGAATGTTTCTGTGAGTTTCAGAATCCTTTTCTGACATTCTTCCAAGTTATGAACTGTCAGTAATCTGTCTCTTTTAATCCTGATATATTTGATTACTGAGAACCAATATTCATGTCCAAGGAATCCACTGACCAATAAGCAGAATGGCTTTCCAATCAGCAGCCAGAAGTCTCTACCTGTCAAGGTCTATCAGTTCTTTTCTCTAGGACATATTCTGGTGGTTTCCCATGATTTAGGGCAAAAAGGGTGATTCTCCTTTATCCAAGTTGCTTGTTTCCTTTCTATTAGATAGTATCGCTTGGAATCTAATCTGAGCTAAGCCTCAAAAATATCAACATTTCTCTTTTCTAAAGAGGGAGCTCAACTAGTTCACCTGTTCTTCCCTCTCAACAGGACTATTAGTCAAGATTCTTCAGCAAAACAGAACAAGTACAGATATAGAGATAAATCTAGACACTTATTTAAGGAATTAGCTTGATTTGGGAAATCATGAGGGTTGTCAAATTCATACAGCAGGTTAGAAGACTAGAAATTCTGATAAAAGTTCATGCTGCTGTCTTTGAATTTCACAGGAAAGCAGGCGGGAATCTCAGCTAGGGTTTCTATGTTGCAAATTGAGGATAACTCTTTCTTCTTCAGGAAATCTGTGTCATTGCTCTTAAGGTCTTCAACTGATTAGATGTAGAGTAATATGCTTTACTGAGCATATATGGCAATCACATCTTAAAAAATACCTCCATAGCAGCATCTAGACTGGTATTTGACCAAACAATGGTACTCTGACCTTGCCAAGTTGATACTTAAAATTAGCCATTAGAAGGATATTTCAGTTTATAACTTATCACCAACCAAATCTAAAAATAATATGAAATGTTTGCGAGAAAAGATATAAGAAATAGAGGTATCCATGAGAAAAATACCAATGTTACTGCCATCTCACTTCCCTACAAAATGGGCTAAACTGGAATATCTTTTTAAGATGGCGACCTAGATGACCTTGTTGAGCCACACAAGAACAAAAATAACATAAAAATCAGCAAAAGATATTCATGAAAGAAATTAGAATAAGTATTAGATAGGATTTTATATGATTGTTCTGTTTTATCCTTGGGTTATAATATACTTTTTGTGCAGAGGTTTTTTAATTGAACACAATTTTTAATTATTCTTCCATGACAGCTCTTGTTAACATGGTCAATTAAGTAAAAATTAAGAAAATTTACATTTCATGCAATAAAAAAGAGAATAGTGTCACCTACTCAAAAATATGGAAATATTTATCTAGCTATTACCAATGGGGATAGATGAATTAATCTGAAAAGGGATCCAGTGAAAAGCCACAGGTTTACACAGTATAAAATACCCAATATAAAAAAGCTCGTTCTAAAAGGATGAAAGGGCAGCAGAAGAAAACAAATCCAAACAAAATAATCTGGGACCTACAGAAGTATCTTTAATATATCGAGTATAGATAACAGTGTGTTAAATACATATTCTGAAAAAAAAAATCTATGGTAAAGAGAGGTAAATTTGAAGTTACTTATTTTATGTTTTCAGAAAAATAAACAGGAAAATGTTGCATGTATGAAAAAAGTACAAAATGAGGTAGTGAGACAGCAATCTAATGAGAGAAAATGAAAGAAAGAGGGAGAGAGAAAAAAAGGTTAGTTCTAGGAAGGCAAAAGAAGTAAAGAGAATTAAATATGAGAAATGTCAACTAATAGGCATATAGCAATGTTTTCTATCTATATTTCAAAATATATAGACATTTATGACTATAGCTATATAGGAGTGAGACAATATTTTAAATATCTCTTTTGAATACCAAGACAGTGATCACTTGAGGTTCATGCTCTTAGGGGGAAAAAATGGAATCCAAAACTATAACCCAATACTCCTTTTCATTGAGCCCATATGGTATTTATTTGCTTAATTAAAGCTGAGTTTGTGAGACTGAGCAGCTAAATGTCTCAGGGACTCAGAGAATAAATGGAGTGTACGCTCTGCCAAGTGAGGAGGCTCCTGTGTATAAAGCCCAAGTTTTGAGGAGCTGAAAGCCAGGAGCCATGTTGATTCAGACCATTCCCTCCTCCACAAAGACTGAAGGCCAGTTTCAAATCAATTAAATCCCTGCTAGATTTGGTTTATCTTCCCCTCCTTTACTATCTGCTAAAAGCAGAAAGACATTGTCTCTAGAGGAAAGTAACATCGAAAACCTGAACTTTTCTCCACAGTTTTTCTAGTGAGTTGTCTATAATTAATATACAAATTTACTAGGCATACAGACAGAAAAAAATAGTTAAAATCAAGATTTAGAAACTGACTCACAGGAAACAAAGATGTTGGAGCTACTCAACACTGACTTTAAAATCATCATGATTAACATGTTCCAGAAATTAAAGGACAAGGTTCAAATTTTTAAAAAGAACAATCAAATGATAATTTTACCATTGAAAACATAACATAAAAATAAAATAGCTGAAATTATGAATCAGTTTAGATAGGTTGTAGATTTCATAGATGATGAGAAACTACAAGTGACATCAATGGATAATATCCAGTTTGAAGTGCACATTTAAAAGAATAAAAGAATTGCAGAGTAAGAGATATACTGAATATAATACAGAGTTTCAACATGCTTTAACCTATTGTAGAAAACAAGGAGACAGTGACTGAAAGAAACATGTATTTGAAGAGGTAATAACTGAGATTGCTTCCAAAATTAAAAAGACATAAAGCTCAAATTGAAGATAGTCTGAGAAAGGCAATAAGGTTAAGTAAAATTGAAACCATGCCTAAGAACAGCATAGTAAATCTGCATGAAACCAAAGACAAATATTTAACGATGGTAGAGGTGACTTTGTGGTAGCATGGTGATGATGGTGGTCGATATGGTGGTAGTGGGGATTGCTCTAATGGATTTGTTAATGATGGAAGCAATTTTGGAAGTGGTGGAAGCTACACTGATTTTGGAAATTATAACAATCAATCTTAAAATTTTAGACCCACAAAAGGAAGGAATTTGAGAGGCAGAAGCGCTGGCCCTTCTGTTGGTAGATGCAAATACTTTGCCAAACTACAAAAGCAAAGTGTCACAGCTGGTTCTAGAAGCAGCAGTAGCTATGGAGGTGATAGAAGGTTTTAATTAACTGCCAGGGAGCAAAGCTTAGCAGGAGAGGAGAGCCAGGGAAGTAATAGGGGAGCTACAGGTTGCAACAACTTGTGAACTCAGCCAAGCACAGGGGTGGCAGGTACTCCTGCAACAGGGTGGTCCCCAGGAAAGGGGGAGGTTCCCTGCCCCACCCAAGGAGGGTGGAGCTGAGCAGCAAAAGAAGAAGCTGCAGGAAGAGACTGAGGAAGGAAGCAGGATGGAGCCAGGAGACCTGGAGAAGGCAAATGGAGCCTAGAGACACGTGAAGAAACTGCGCTTGTCTTTTGGTCGTGGACTAGGTGACACAGATGTCGGTGAGACCCGTGGGGAGGTGACAATGGCAGCTTTTATCTTGATGTTGATTTTGCTCTTTTCCTTCCGGGCTTGTCCGGTTGTTTGTGACCCTTTTCTGTGGGTCCCCACTG